CTGCCACTTTATCCAAACATTATTTATTGCGTAAGCACACATGAGCACGCTCGCTGTGAAGGTTATGATCCAAAATATCCTGAAAATAGAATTTAAGCTTACAGCCGTGACAAATCGATTCCATTTTTTGATCTATGCAGCTTTTAATTTGATACTTCAATCTATAAACTTCTTGCTGATGTAGATAGAGCTAGGGATCCGCAGAGGAGTGTTTGCGAATAAAGCTTCTTCTTCTGTATCGTTCCCTCACTACTGAGGATCGCGACCACGTGCGACGTACTTCCAATGTGCCCGATCATGGGTGGCATGGACTGCATGGTACAGACTACCACCGAGTGCTTCTCTTGCTAGATCTGACCATCTGGCTGGTATTCTGCCCACAGCGCGCTTGCCCTCTATGCGACCCGTAATTATGAGCTTCTCTAATTCATGTCTGGGAGACCGCATGATGTGTCCGAAGAAGCTCATAACAGGTTCCCGGCAGATGGAAGAGAGCCTTTTCGGATGTCTAGCTGCCTTAGAATGGATTCGTTAGTTCTCCTGGCAGTCCACGGTATTCGTAGCATCCTCCACCACACCCACATTTCAAAGGAATCGATCTTTTTGATATCCCGGCTTTTTATGCAGCATGTCTCCGCCCCGTAGAGGAATATGGGAAAGATCAGTGCCCGCACCAAGCTTGATCAGTGTATATTCTTGATTCATTTAAAGGTGGCCCCCTAATAAAGTTCTTGGGAAACATTAATTTTCATTCAATTTCACTAGTACATTGATGCATTTTGTATGTGGAGTCCGTCTCACTTACTGTCTCTTTATTTGACCACTTTTAATTTCGCTGAATAATTTTAATAATTTAAGATATCTCATTCACTGGTTCGAATTTGTTTTTACATTACACGGTTCACCGTGAGTACAGTATTTGATTATTTAAATAAATTGAAAGTAGATTATTTTTGTTTGAAATAACCATTCAATATTTACCTAACGAAAAGGGAGATTTACTGAAAATGGTGATAAGCTTATATTTAAAATAAAAACTCACTTTTCTACCGGGTGTGATCCTCTTTGTGTCATGTACCTAAATCCGTGTAGTGTGGTGTTACTTGTGAATTCAAAAAACATCTCTAAAATCAGTGATTTCTGGCGCTGCCGTTTTTCTTTTCTCGAGGAATCACTGTGTGCAGCGACGATTTCCTTATCAGATCTGAATGTGGAAACATAACATAATAATTTCATAAGATGTAATAACCAAAAATTATGTATTTTTTATGTACTTATTGCGTAGATGAGTAATTTCTCGGCCAATTTGGTGATGGGTTGCAAGAGCTCATAGACCTCACAACGTGAATATCATACTTGAGACATGAGGCTTGAGTCTGAATTCACAGTCTCAGGAAATAGACGGGGTGATTTTACCCGTGCATCTCCTTCGGATAAATGACACAGTCATAATTAATACGCCTAGGTATGAACTTAATGACTTCACACCTCGGTCCGATAACAAAATTACAATTATAATAATGTAAAGGCAATGAGACTCTACTCTCTGCGACTGAGAGATAAAGTATTTGAGTCATAATTTATAATTCCACAATATCGTTTATTAAAATCTTGACCTAATATGCCTATCGACGTGCAGTCATTTAAGACGCCGTACCCTAGTACTCTGATTTGGCAGTTAAGACTCTGATTTGCAGGCCTCGTCATATTAGTGCAAGCTATGTATAAGTAAAATAAGAGATCTTTCTACGTATTAACAACTTATCTTATGAGACGAGCCTTAGGAGTGGCACTGTCAATTCTCGTAGTCCAAACATCAGAGAAGAGGTTCACCACCAATAATACAACTTGGTTAACGAAAATACACACATTAAGAAATGAAATTTTAATACACTAATAAAATGTACTCACTCCATAGTTCAGGTACTAGCAAACGTCCAGCTTAAAGGAAAGGCAGCTTAATTACTGAAAAACCTTTTTTTTTCTTTCATGTAAATGAAGGTTTTATACTAATAACATTTTGCTGTCAAGCTTAATGTGAGCTACGGGAATTCGAACCCTCAATTATGAAGGCTTTATGATACAATTTCCATAAGGAAATTCATATTATACTAATATTATGTAGGGTTTATTAGATTATGACCTAAAAAAAACTAATGGACACATCCAAACTAATTAATTAACAAACTTATTTTACTTACTACCCTTTCATTATATTAATTGAAACACGCTAACGTCCTTGTGTCTTTCACGCGAATAATGGAGTGCGAATTATAAACATTTTTCAAACAAATTCATGACAAAATAGTGGATAACTTTTTTCAAACGGCTAGAGCTGACATCGTCCTATCTGTGGCATTCGTTGACCCTGTTGCATCCTAAAATGAAATAAACTTTACTAAGAAACCAACGGTCTTTCTTTATTAGACCCTTATGAATGGACATCTTAACTGGCTTAGGCCAAATACCAATCCATTTTGGTTACTGAAATAGCTCTTTTTGGCTCAAGAGACTTTAAATCATTACTGATGGTAGGAACTCTTGTGAGTCCCCGCGGGTAGGTACCACCACCCTGCCGATTTCTGGCGTGAAGCAGTAATGCGTTTCAGTTTGAAAGATGGGGCAGCCGTTGTAACTGTACTTGAGACCTTAGAGCTTATATCTCAAAGTGGTTGGCGCATTTACGTTGTAGATGTCTACGGGCTCCAGTAACCACTTAACACCAGGTGGGCTGTGAGCTCATCCACCCATTTAAGCAATAAATAAAAAAGGATCCCAGTGTGCCTAATCAAAATCAATGTTTAGGATACAAAGTTCAAACCCATATTTTTATTGGGTAATAATTTTTATTTTTATCAATATAAATAAGCACCCATGGTTCGATGTACCTCTGCCAGCGCAGTAGTCATTTTTCAATGCTCTTGTTAAAGAAGTCAGTTATCCGGGACCCAGCCAACTCTTCAAAGGTAATTTTACACTGCCTCTCGGGTAATAAATTTTTTCCTTGCCAAGCAACTTTGAAAAGTAACAGTTTGTCGGCGCAAGAGCTTATGAGTACGGAGTGTGACGTCAAACTCTTTTAGGTTAGAGACCGTTTGTTGTACCGTATGATGTAGAAAGCTGTTGTGTAGAAGCAGCGGGGACGAGCGATTAACCAAGGCTGACGGGGATTGGTAGGCAGCGGCTTGGCTCTGCCCCTGGTATTGCTGAAGTCCATGGGCGACGGTAAACACTCACCATCAGGTGAGCAGTATGCACGTCTACCTACAAGGATTTGCAAAGGTCAGTATTGTAAAACGCCATCTTCATAGGTAAAGACTTGGGTATAATTGAGGGTAAATCAAATTTAACTTTTTTTTTATTGCTTAGATGGGTGGATGATCTCACAGCCCACCTGGTGTTAAGTGGTTACTGGAGCCCATAGACATCTACGACGTAAATGCGCCACCCACCTTGAGATATAAGTTCTAAGGTCTCAAAGTATAGCTACGACGGCTGCCCCACCCATCAAACCGAAACGCATTATTGCTTCACGACAGAAATAGGCAGGGTGATGGTACCAACCCGCGCGGACTCACAAGAGGTCCTACCACCAGTAATTACGCAAATTATAATTTTGCGGATTTCATTTTTATTACACGATGTTATTCCTTCACCGTGGAAGTCAATCGTAAACATTTGTTGAGTACGTATTTCATTAGAAAAATTGGTACCCGCCTGAGATTCGAACACTGGTGCATCGGTCAACACGAATGCACCGGACGTCTTATCCGTTAGGCCACGACGACTTCAAAAGCCGAGCTAGGATTCCCTGTGCTATGAATACCAGAGACATGCGTTTAAATACTTACACATTAGTACAAGTACATATGCTTTTAAATATATGCACATACCCAGATAAAGAGTAAGCAAACTAACTTGTTTGTCATACAAAAGCTTATCGAAATTAGAAATCGAACTCACAATTTTTGCTTCATTTCGGGGGCTCTAACTTTTTTATTGCTTTTGTAGGCAGACGAGCATACGGCCTACCTAATGGTGAGTGGTTACTATCGCTTATTAATGTCATCAATGCCAGGAGACTAGCCAAGCCGCTGCCAACCACTGAGTGCTCTCCGTAGACTCCTTTTGAAGAAGGACATGTCGTATCGCCGAGAGAAAACCGTGGAGGGAAATTCATTCCAGAGCCGATTGATACGCGGTAAACAAAGATAGATAGAAAGTACTTGTTGTTCTAAATATGCGCTAACTTTGCTTAAGTTTTTTTTTTTTTTATTGCTTAGGTGTGTGGACGAGCTCACAGCCCACTTGGTGTTAAGTGGTTACTGGAGCCCATAGACATCTACAACGTAAATGCGCCACACACCTTGAGATATAAGTTCTAATGTCTCAGTATAGTTACAACGGCTGCCCCACCCTTCAAACCGAAACGCATTACGGCTTCACGGCAGAAATAGGCGGGGCGGTGGTACCTACCCGTGCGGACTCGCAAGAGGTCCTACCACCAGTAAGTGGCGTATGTGCGACGGTAAAAACGAGATGACGATATCATCTCGAACCAGCTATAGAGCGACAGCCCTAGATGTAGTTAGGCAAAATATCTAAAATACTTTTAATGGTTTTCCATTTTTGTACTGTTTGTTTTCAATCGCTCCGAGATTAACTATGGGTGACTTTCTAGGGCTCCTGAGATGACACGATTTCTAAATTTAGATTTGAGAACAGTTTTTCAAGGACAGGTCCAAAGCTCCGATCAGTGAGAGGTTTGCCACCAATAAGTAATTTTGGGGAAGAATTTTCATTGTTTTTATTTCGATTCTCATTAAAATAACAATTATCCCGTTAAAAAAATACGATTTAATTATGTATTATAATTTAGATAATAGTAAATACAAATTCAGTGAAAGTGCAATTGTAATTATTATATTTTAATGATCTAAGAGGAATGTTTGTTTAAAAGATTATCTATATGTGTTCTGATTCAAACCACGTTTTCTTTGCGACAGCATAACATAAGTAAATGTCGTCGGCTTTTTATTTTATTTAAGCCAAAAACAAAGCATCTTTGAAGGATAGCTTATTTATATTGTTTCAAAATTGAGAACTGGGGACGTTCTTCTGAGCCTTATTCTTTACTTAACGGATTTCCGAATATGCACGTATTATATTTAATTTTATGCTGATAACCTTTTTTTGCGTCACCATTAATATACCAGTTTCATGAATTTTATTCTTAATATTGTCATCTTTTTTTCATGTTTAAATGTGACTTTTTATGTACAATTTTTTTATATTTAGTATGTAAATTAAAAAAAGGTCAAAACAGACATTCCTCAATCTATTAATAATGTTCACAATAAATATATATTTAATGATGATATTTCTGTTTCATTTTTCATTTTTCTGATAACGCTTTTCCCGTGCTAAGGCGCACCATATTCTGAAAATATAACAAAACATTGTTATTAGTTAAAAGGTTAATAATCAAATAGTTAGATAAACTCACAGGTTCCTGTGCAAATTCACAGGAAACTGTATCCGCCTAACAACAGGCTATGAGTTCTTCTGCCTATCCACACTAATAAAGATGCTGATTGAATAAAAAGGAAGTTCAGGCATCGCCGTGCTCTTGAAGAAATAATGCCTCTTCCTAAATGGTCTGAATATAGATATTAAAGTACATTCTCAGACTAAAGCAGCGACTCAACGGCTATTGTTTTGTTGATGCTCATTCCAAAGCTTCTTATAAACCATCTCAAATGCTGATTTAAGTTACAAGCCCGAATAAAAAGATAATGGATTTCATATTGATTTTTTTTTATCATAGCCTTGGGGAATTTTTGATAACTTGTATTCAGACTTTACAGTGCGAATTTAAAACACGTGGCCTGCATGATCTGTTTATTATAAAGGAATGTCATGAAATAAATATATAACACTTTAAACAAATAATAATTATTCTACTTTTCATTTAGCATGTCAGCATTTCAATATATTCTGTCGAAATGTTCAACAAAGCGTTCACGTCTTTGACAAAATTTACAAAATATCTCCAAACGTAATGGTTTCATTTTATTTAAACAAAAGCTTGCTTGACTTGGGTTTTCATCTTCACAAAAATATAATTAGTGATAACCGTAAAATTTAATCAACTTAAAAAAAGAATTGAGAGAAAAATCTAGAGATAAAAGAAACATAACGAACCTCAATGTTATGAAATATATTATCTCGACTAGACTGAGGAAAGAGAATCCTAGGAACAACCCGAGCAGACCACCGCAGTTCGCCAAGAAGTCGGTCTTGCCAAATAGTTCTGATCGTTTGAACGACATGAAACGTGGTAACTTATAAAACAGTTCTATCTTCGAGAAACTGTCATTGCCCATTATCCTGAAATTTACACTAATTCTACAAATCCGATATGATAATATATATTTTTGAAGTTGATTTGGAAGAATATTAATTAAACCAATATTATGTACTCACTGTTTACATTAGGTATTAAATATAATATTTTGAAATATACTTAAAAGTTATCGTCTGCAGTTTTAATTAATCTAAAATTATATTAATACGTTCAGTATGGTATTGAACATTCAAAAAAGCGACAAAACACTTACGTTTCACTATATATATCGTCGTAACCGAAACTTTTCGTGAAACTTGTCATGTAATCCTTTATGTGGAATTCTGACTTCAGAATCTCGGCGTCATAATCGATACTGTTACAGGAAGGGAGGCATTGACATGCATGTGCGTTGTCTGATATCGATTCCATTCCATGTGTTTGTGCTACTTCCTCTAAAAATATGTACGTATATGCAATTACAAAGAGGAACAAAGGGGGCAGAATTTTTTTAAGAATTTTATTTAATATAGCGACCCACCCTCGCTTCGCTTCGGAAACATTAAATTTTATTATTGATAGCTGAGTCCCGCGATAATACCCGCGTTCATTATCGTACCGCGGGTGAAGCCGCGGGGCAAAGCTAGTCTAAAAAAAGTAGCCTAAGTTACTCCTTATATCGTCAGCTACCTATCAGTGAAAGTCCCGTCAAAATCGGTCCAGCCGTTCCCAAGATTAGCCGGAACAAACAGACAGACAGACAGACAGACAAAAATTGTAAAATGTTATTTTGGTGTATGTACTGTATATGTATTCATATGCATGTAGTAAAAGAGACTATTTCAATATTACAAACAGACACTCCAATTTTATTTATATGATATATAGATTTTTTCCTACCTAAGCTTGAGAGGCTCTGTAAGCGTAAGCGAGCGATTAGGTGAGCTTTCGGGTCTCTGGGGGCGTTGCTAACACTAGCCCTAGCAAGAGCAGTGCTTCGCAGACTCTACTACCCGATCGAAAACGCTACCCCCTGAGAAGATCCAGCGAGAAACTCAGTGGACTGTGTCTATGGGCTAGTTCACTCGCCGAACCCTACGTCGCAAGCGGCGGGTTCTATGAGAACGGTGATCGGTGCTTGAGGTACCTAAAAGCAACGTCAATGGATCTCGAGTATTTTACAGATTTTGTTGTTCATATGTGTCAATTCAGACTTCTCCAAAAGGAACAGCCTATTTCAGGTATATGTATTACTAAACGCCTGTATTACAATTTGTACGATATGTAACAATGTCGTTATGCACTTACTGCAAAAAATATTTCATTAACTAGGTATTTCCTAGAGAATCAGATGGTAGGACTTCTTGTGAGTCTGCGCGGGTGGGTACCACCACCCTGCCTATTTCTGCCGTGAAGCAGTGATGCGTTTCGGTTTGAAGGGTGGGGCAGCCGTTGTAACTTATATATCTCAAGGTGGGTGGCGCATTTACGTTGTGGATGTCTATGGGCTCCAGTAACCACTTAACACCAGGTGGACTGTGAGATCGTCCAACCATCTAAGCAATAAAAAAAAAAAAGAATGATTTATTTAAATGTATGTTTTAGTAAGGCAATTGTAAATATTAAACGTACAATTAATTATGTGTTTTATTTTTATGTTACTTATGATTCATATAATTTTACCTAATCGTGAATTTTGAATTTCTTTTGTAAAAACTTACCTTTGGCATTTTTCACGCACTCAAACTTTGCTAAGGTGCAAATTTTATCACTGATGTGATCTGAAAGAATAAGTACAATAAATCATGATATTCTGTAGAAAGACTGTAAAACTAAGTTTACGACTTACAGGGCATATAAAATGCGACGCATCCACATTTTGTAAACGTGTAATTAGTCAAGCATTCGACTCGGCAATTGTTTGAAGAATAGCTTTGGAAATATCTCAGTTGTCGCTCGTGGGGAAAATAGCATTGACGTCTGCAATTGGACAATGACGTTACGGTTTTATTTCAAGCACACTAGTATCTTTAAAATCGAAGGGAAAAGGCCTAGGGGTAGGGGTCCCAAACGATGGTCGGACCAAATAGCGGAGGCACTGAAAATAACTGTCAGCGACGCACTCCACCAAGCTACAGAATAAACAATGACAATAATAATTTTATATTAAAACAATAATAAAAATAAGACCACGCTATATTTATAAACATTGACAAAAGCAAAACATTAACTGTCCCCTTCACACTCATAAGCTAGACCGCGTGAGAGAGAGATGGGCAGACTTTTCATGATGCTCATGCAGTGCGACGTCACTCCGCGCGCTTATTCACAAACACTACATCAGCGCAACGTGTGAATGTGTTGAATGCGAGATACATAGTAGGCGTAGTGGGGGGGTCCGGTTATTTTCGTTACGGAATTTCTTGATTCAGTCGCCGCGCTCAAGGCCCGCGAAAGAAGCTATGCAATAGCTTAAAAAAATTGTTTGTAAATCTAGTAACTACGACTTAAAATCTTATTTATCCTTGACGAGATTAACATAGTTGATACTATATAACCGCGTTTCGACTTTTAATATTTATTCAGGAGCACCCTGTATATAAAGCTAAGCACAGAATAGAAATCCGACCAAAGCTTCAATTGCGCTAATGATATTTTCCGTGATAGACCATTTGTCTATAGAGCAAAGCTACCAACTCAGTAACTTGTCAATGCGTACTCTTGTTAAATGTCATAAAACACGTTCCAAAAAACCTATCACGATGTTGAGATTCAAATTCAAAATAATTGCTATAATATTTATTAAAACAGAGAGCCTAGAGGGTTTTTATTTTTATTGCTTAGATGAATGGACGAGCTCACAGCCCACCTGGTGTTAAGTGGTTATTGGAGCCCATAGACATCTACAACGTAAATGCGAGATATAAGTTGAAAGGTCTCAAGTATAGTTACAACGGCTGCACCGCCCTTCAAACCGAAACGCATTACTGCTTCACGGCCGAAATAGGCAGGGTGGTGGTACATACCCGCGCGGACTCACAAGAGGTCCTAACATCAGTATTCTTCACCAGAGTTCTTCTTAAACTGGACTTTTAAGTATATATTGATTCTTTTCTTATTACGTGCAAAACTTAAAAATACTTAGGTACAATAAAACATTTTATGCCTAACTTACTGCTCAACGGGTAATGAATCCAAACTGTTTGATGTACGCAAAATATCAAATTTTAGTGCCATAGAAGAAACTTGGGACGACAACGCACTGTAATAGTACAATGAAGGCTGCGGCAAATCTGCGGGATGGTGTATAAATATCTGTAAATTAATATTTAAGCTTACTACTAATACTAACTTTAAGCATTTAAATAGCATTCTTTCTAAATATTTCGATTATGTTTCATTCAAAAAGGTAAAATAAAATAATTAAAAAATAATATAAAAAAATACTATAAAATTTTAACGTGACAACGTCTTATAATTCGATGGAGCCGGCTGCACGCACGAAAAAAACATGACTCATTGAGGCGTTCCTTTCAAGGCTTGAAGTGCAAGCGAGAGCGCGCAACGAGCGACAAAAAGGCACAATCGGCCTCCGCGTTCGGCAGCGTTCGACATCTGTCTCTCTCCTACTTGAGTGAGCGATGCATCCCCGTGGACAGCTGCTATACAATAATACATTTACATGTTTTCTACAAGTATGAAGTTCAGTGAAAAGTGAATGTAGTGTTAATTGTCCATACAAAATATCTATCAAACAAATAAAATTAATATTTTCTTTTGAAAAATGAAACCATTCCATCAGTATTTTCTTATGACGTTGTCACGTTCAGCTATCGTCAGTCAAATAAAACATGGTTTACCTAATAAAATTTTCTTCGGTTTCCGCAAGTCGTAAATATAATTAAAACGATATACTTTTACGGTTTAATCTCGTGTTTGTTATTGTCATTGTATTATTTCGGACGTTTCGAATACTTTACAGTTTTTTACAGTTTTTACAGTTTTACTTTACAGTTACACAAGGTAACGGATAACCCTGATAATATCAATCAAAACGCGAGATTAAACGGTAAAAGTAGCTTTAATTATATCTACGTGTCGCGCAAAACGAAGAAAACTCTATAAAGTATTTTATTTAAAAGTAATATTAATTGAATTATATTATATAATATATAATTTTTTGCAAAAAAAAAATACCTTGAAACCATTTTTAAGTTTATTACATAGTTTATCTTTCTGTTCCGGGTTATCTTTAAGTACAACTTTTAAATCTGGCTCGGCCCCGTTTTTCTAAAATATTATATTAAATAGATTAATTTAAAGTCTACTTCATATTTTTTTCTAATAATACTTAGATAAACTGTACAATATACCCTTCCTCTTCTTGGATATGTATTGTTATCTTCGCTTTTATAGCCTTCCTCTATCGTCCAATTACGGCTCATCTCTGTTGATTCCAAGTAAGCAAAATCTCCATGTAAACTAAAAAAAAAACATTTCGATATCATTAAATTTGTTATAAAAATTATGTGCTCAGTAATATTTTGATTAAATAGCTTTGGTTAAAGTTTTGCATTGATGACGTTAATTTATCAAATCACTAGCTGACCCGGCAGACTTCGTTGTGCCTCAATCGATAAATCAAAAGACCTAAACTTTTGTATAAAATAAACTTAAAACAAACAAACAAAAGGAATCCGTCCGACGGGGGACACATCAAAGAGAAAACAAAATTGTTATTTTTATTTATTTCCGAGCATTTTCATATTTATCTACCTTTTAAACCTTCTCTGGACTTCCACAAATAATTCATGACCAAAATTAGCCAAATCGGTCCAGCCGTTCTCGAGTGTTAGCGAGACTAACGAACAGCAATTCATTTTTATATATATAGATTAACTTCAGCAAAATATTTTATTCGAATGGAATTAATTTACAGGATACAGACTAAGATTATGATCGAAGCAAAGGTTTTTCCTTTCTCGACAGCGTCTCTGTTTGGTGAAATTATTTAGATCGTGATAATAGAGTTTTTCAAAACATTTTAGCAGTCTTTTTCAGCTTTTTTTTTTGAGTTCCTATGCTTCATTTTGTTGAATGTCTTGTTATGAAATCAATCAATTACTTCCAGTGCGTATCTGAGTTTTTATATAGTTATTTAATTCTTGTTAAATTTAGTTCTTGTTAATTATCAGATGTTATTCAAATGTGAATGCGATAAAAAACTTATACTGCGTTTACTCTGTTATATTTTTTTATTAAGTTATTGCATAGATTTTATCGCGGGCCTTGAGCGCGGCGACCGAATCATGAAATTCCGTAACGAAAAAAACCTTACACCCCTCACTCCACCTACCATGTAGCTCGCGTTTAACACATTCACACGTTGCGCTTGTGTAGTATTTGTGAATAAGCGCGTGGCGTGACGTCACACTGCATGCGCATTATGAAAAGTCTGCCCATCTTTCTCTCGCGCAGTCTAGCTTATGAGTGTGAAAGGGACAGTTAATGTTTTGTTTTTATTAATGTTTAATATAGCGTGGTCTTGTTTAATTATTGTTTTAATATTAAATTATCATTGTCTAATTATAATTTCATAAGTTGATAAAAAATGCTATGCAATAGCTTTACCGCGGCAGTTCCCGAGTGCCACGCGTTTTTTTTTTATTCGTATGTTTTCACTACTATTTTATAAAAACATAGAAAAAGGACACAAGCTTACACATATAATGTTAAAAAAGGAACATCATAATATTTTATAATATTTCATCATAATATTATTTGAAGTCGTCGTGGCCTAAAGGATAAGACATCCGGTGCATTCGAATGTAGCGATGCACCGGTGTTCGAATCTCGCAGGTGGGTACCAATTTCTCTAATGAAATACGCGCTCAACAAATGTTCATGATTGACTTTCACGGTGAAGGAATAACACCGTGTAATAAAAATCAAACCCGCAAATTATTATATAATTTGCGTAATTACTGGTGGTAGGACCTCTTGGGAGTCCGCATGGGTAGGTACCACCACCCCGCCTATTTCTGCCGTGAAGCAGTAATGCGTTTCGCTTTGAAGGGTGGGGTAGCCGTTGTAATTATATTGAGTCTTTAGAACTTATATCACGAGGTGGGTGGTGCATTTACGTTGTAGATGTCTACTGGAGCCCAGTAACCACTTAACACCAGGTGGGCTGTGAGCTCGTCCACCCATCTAAGCAATATAAAAATTCCAATTATGAAAGGAATTTATCAAATGTTTCTAATGTTATTCTGGACTATTCGATTGCTACGAAATTTAATAAAAGAAAAAATAGAAATAAAGAAGATACTTCTCGGTCCGGAATATTTCGGATGATGCCAACGTATTCATTGTGTAGCAGACGCCTTCCGATGTGAGAACTCTTTGAAATAACTTCTTACATTCTATGTACTCGTTACGCCAAACACAGCTGTCAAAAAACTCTTCAAAATCCGGTATCACCTGAAATTCAACAAGTTTATTTATTACGTCCAATCGATTTACTATGAAACCGACTTTTTAATACGCTTTTATTAGCTTCATACGTATTTTAGTATGTAACGGAATCTTTGAACTTGATTTTGACCCCCTTCAAAACCTTGGATTAGCTCGAAATTTGGCATACTTATTAAGGACCGTGACAATTCAATATTTGAAACAGTTGATCCGTTATCCTTACTAGGATAATCAGGATTAGCCATTTTTTGGTTTCCTGAGACCCGGAGTGTCTGCGTCGAGGCCAAGAAGGGAAACTACCAGGTGCGCCGATCACCTATTTCTCGGATAAGGTACCGACTGATTCATATGAAATTTTTGAAAAAATTGAAAAACAAAAAGTTAATAAAATTATATTCAACTACACAACTACTACGCTTTTATAGAAAATTCAACTAAAAAATAGAATTTTTTTTTTAATAATTTTAAATTGAAAATAGTGTGAGAAAAAATGATTCTATTGTAAAAAAAGCGTGCATGGTATCAATAGTTGTAAAAATTTTGATAATATCCTCTAGAGCACACCACGCTTTTTATACAATAAAATCATTTTTTCTTACACTATTTTTAATTCAAATTTATTACAATTTATTTTCTATTTTTTAGTTGGATTTTCTATAAAAGCGTGTTTTGTTAGTTTTTTTTAAACTATTATTTATAAATATTTTATTTGAATTATGTTACTATACCTGCAATATATGTTCAACAAGGCTGATATTGGAGTAAAGACGATCCAACGTATTGAAACCGTACGAATCAACCCAAAGCAAATCCAAAACTTCGCTTTCACAGATCATAGACACGTCTTGCAATTTTTCTAACTGATTTTGATCACTGAAATAGTTTAAAGATATTTAGAGAGAGAGAGAGAGAGAATACACTTAATTGCACACCAAAACACAATTTACATTCAAAAAACAATAAAAAAAGCAGATACATTTGTACAATAGGCGATCTTGTCGCTAAAAGCGATTTTTTCCAGACAAATGTTTAATTTATAGAAATTCTGGAAAATATAAAAATATATTTATTTATATTTTAAGGTTAATTTATATCTCAAAAAATTTACATTGACGCACGTATTTACTTAGGTCTCGTTTATAATTTAAATTTATTATACCTTAATTAAAATAAAAAAAAACTGACTGCGCCCAATGCCGTATCAATTTAGCAAACTTATATTAAAACATGATATGATAGTATTACTTTTTAGAATAATTTGCTCTGTTCTGTGAAAATGTGCCTTATTTTTTAAAGTCAAAATGCTTAACTTCATTACACAACTTCTTTACAACAATTATTCAAACTTCATACTGATGGTCGGACGTCTTGTGAGTCCTCACGGGTAGGTACCACCGCCCTGCTTATTTCTGCTGTGAAGCAGTAATGCGTTTCGGTTTGAAGGGTGAGGCAGCCGTTGTAACTACACTGAGAACTCATATCTCAAGGTGGGTGGCAGTATTTACGTTGTAGATGTCTATGGGCTCCGGTAACCACTTAACACCAGGTGGGCTGTGAGCTCGTCCACCCATCTATGCAATAAAAGAAACTGGCTTGAACTATGACTCAAATGTACCACAATATTGGTGGTATATGGGTTTATTAAGTCGTTATTTCATTTATCTTGCTACGATTAATGTAATAACTTATCTATATATTAATACGTGAAGCAAAAACTTTGTATCCCTTTTTACGAAAATTGCGCGGACGGAGGAGTATGAAATTTTCCACACTTATAGAGAATATAGAGAAAAAGTGCACAATGCTAATATTTTTTTAAAATAATGCATAAGAGATACATTAAATCAATAAAGAAAACATTACACACACTACATACCATGTATTTGACGCAAACACGCATGCATACTATTTATTGTCAAACTTTTGTTCTTGGCGTCTGTTGTCAAATTGAGAATAGATTAAATATTGTTTGTCTTTGTTAATATTTTTTATAGTGTAGTCTTGGCGAAATTTGTGATTATAGAAGTATAAAATACAATCACAATAGTGTACAAACTTACAATTCCAATGAATTATAGTCGAATTTCGACTACTGCGGGACCTCTAGTTAATTTAATAATCCAATTAAAATGCTTTAAAGACTTATATTTACTATTAAAAACTTACATAGTATTAGTTTCGTGTATCATGGAATATTTTAATCCCTGGTATAAATTTTTTTTTTCTTCAAAGTAATCGTAAATTTTTGGGGAATTTTTGCTTTGGGGACAAATCGTTACTGATGGAAAGGGTACCTGAAAAAAGTAACACATTTCATGAAAAAAATACAATCTGGCACCGATATTTCGTCAGTGGTGTTCGATCTAAAATTATTAAGATAAAAAATAATAATCAATAGTTATATGAAAAATGATTGGTAAAAATTTATAATTGATCATATGATATATTACTAGAGGTCCCGCAGTAGTCGAAATTCGACTACAATTAATTGGAATTGTAAGTTTGTACACTATTATGATTGTATTTTATACTTCTATAATCACAAATTTCGCCAAGGCTACACTATAAAAAAATATTATTAAAGACAAACAATATTTAATCTATTCTCAATTTGACCACAGAAGTCAAGAACAAAAGCTTGACAATAAATAGTATGCATGCGTGTGTGCGTCAAATACATGGTATGTAGTGTGTGTAATCTTTTCTTTATTGACTGAATGTATCTTTTATGCATTATTTAAAAAAAAATTTAGAATTATGCACTACTTCTCTATATTCTCTATAAGTGTGGAAAATTTCATACTCCTCCGGCCGCGCAATTTTCGTAAAAAGGGATACAAAGTTTTTGCTTCACGTATTAATATATAGATAATTCCATTACATAATAATATATACATACACATTTTTTTCCAACTGATGCTTCCTAAAATTCATAAAACAAGGAACTAATCTATCCGTGGTAGTTTTTAGCTCGCTTAGTAACATAAAAACTTAGTGGAAAATGGCTGTGACATATTTAAATGATGATGACACAATATAATGGCCACATGACTAAAAGATTCATGAATTTAGAACACGAAATAAGAGGTCATGGACCAATAATATGGCTTACCGATTAAAAAAAGTGACATGCTAATGAGCAATTCAACCAAAGAGACACCGTCAATAGTACTAGGAGGACTGTCCATAAATGAACTATGAATGACACAAGAAAAAGAAGCACTAATCATAACGAATGATAATTAAAACATCTTTTACGATATACTATCATGTTTTTAGAACGAGTTTCCATACGGGACGATGCAGAGGGGTACCCTAACCGGGAAAAAATGTCCGTAACGTAAGATTTTTATTAGTAATGCACACAGTGTAGGACTTAACTTTGTAATAACGTACAAAAAAGAACATAATGTTTTTTTATCATTCATTGACCACGATCTCTGAGCGTTCGTTTGCGCAATACACTAATACTCTTATGCAAACAACCGCGAATGAAGTGTACCACAATAAGTTCGCACGTTACCGAATGACCGTGGGTTGTTGCGAAACTTCCAGTTTTATTTTCTTTGTACCTCGAATAGAACTTAAAATTTATATTTTCATAATAAGGAACTTCGTTCCTATCCGGTGTCCCACGACACCACACATCTTTTTTATTGTAATTATATTACTTCATTATTATTTGCTAATAAATTTCATAGTCACGACGAGATTAAATGTCGGAAATAAAAACATTAAACCGTAAAAGAAGCTTTAATAACGCCTACGACTCGTGAAAATCGGTGAAGGTGTCCTCTTCTCTATCATTGTGATATGATGTATTACGATATGTGAGTTGCTCGCTCCGGGCATTTCAATATTCTATATGTCAGAGGAAGCAATGAGTCGAGTTGATTCTTGTTTACATGCTTAATGTTTATTATTATTAGTTTTACGTTGTAATTACTTTTATAATTCCTAATTCTATTTTATCTTGTTTGTTACGTTTTTCTATAACTTTAAAACCTTTCATAAAAATAAACTGTAATAAAAGGTCCCATAACTGTAAATCACGTAGGCAGCGACCAATCAGAGCAGAGCGTCTTGTCTCGAGCGTGGTCGAGGCGCCATCTTCACTTTGGAGAAAGCTTGTATTGTGGTGTGACGCATTTTGTGAGCATAAAAACGTATCGAGTTGGATCGTTGGATATAGTTAAAGTGAGATTGGTGCACCGAACTCGCTGCTCGGTCTAAACTGTTGTATTCTTACAATATTACCGTGGTATAACAAAATATTGTATAAACTGAATTAAACTACTGATAAAACGGCATCCATTGTGTTTTGTGCTCGCACTTTAACCCCATGACGCCCACTAAGCCCGCAGCCACTAATGGCGATGTCGACGAGGAGAGCCTTTCCCCGACATATATATTAATACGTGAAGCAAAAACTTTGTATCCCTTTTTACGAAAATTGCGCGGATGGAGGAGTATGAAATTTTCCATACTTATAGAGAATATAGAGAAGAAATGCACAATGATAATATTTTTTTAAATAATGCATAAAAGATATATTAAATCAATAAAGAAAACATTACACACACTACATACCATGTATTTGACGCACACACGCATGCATACTATTTACTGTCAAACTTTTGTTTTTGACGTCTGTGGTCAAATTGAGAATAGATTAAATATTGTTTGTCTGTATTAATATTTTTTTATAGTGTAGTCTTGGCGAAATTTGTGATTATAGAAGTACAATACAATCATAATAGTGTACAAACTTACAATTCCAATTAATTATAGTCGAATTTCGACTACTGCGGGACCTCTAGTTGTAATAATTGTTACGTTGTTAAAAAATGAATATTTAAAGAAATATTCTAATATTAAAAAAAAAGACATGCACGCTAAGTTTCTGGCCAATTCTTCTCAGGACGGAGGCTAGTTTTTGTGAATTGGCGGTAGTTCTTTTGACGTTCAACAAGTATGTACTTTCATTTATGTTGAATTTTTTTTTTATTTTATTTGATTTGATTTGATCAACTTACCTCATCAACCGACACTAATCTCTCGCTCAAGGTGACAATGACAGGGCAGGTCTTCCATTTAAACCAAACGTTGCTCATCAAATAGAAACAGATTAATACGCTTATTATGAAGGTTATCAACCAGAATATTCTGGAAGTAAAATTTGGATGTCAGTCTAAAAATATACCGACCGAATTAGATCCAAACTGAAATATGTATATATATTTTTTTCTTGAAAACTTTTTTGATCTTCATCTCAATTAAGCGTTCTATATACAACGGTCTTAATTTACGAATACAGACTCAAATATATTCAAGCTAATTTCTTTAAAGTTACTGGTTCCGATGAAAATAGATGGTTGGACGAGCTCACAGCCCACCTGGTGTTAAGTGGTTATTGGAGCCCATGGACATCTACAGCGTGAATGCGCCACCCACCTTGAGATATAAGTTCTAAGATCTACAATTATAGGGACGTTGGAATATAAATATAAACTAATAACTGATTCAAGCGACAACATTTTTGTTAATTTGTCTTGTCCAGTTCAGGAAACACATAGGTCTTTTCATGTGAGCAGAAGATGTACTCGCCGTAATAGAGGAGCCGGTAGAGCTTCAGTTCTTCATCACAGTCGAAAAATTACTCGACTTTTGTATCGTATCGGCTGCTACGATACGGTACTATGGAAAATGCGCAATATCTTTCAAACGCTTGTACTTATAATTCCCATAGACACTGCCATGATAATAAAATATTTTTATACAGCGCACTAATGAAGTCTGTGAATCTAATTCATTAGATTTTAGAGGATAACCAAATAATCCATCTAGCTATTGACGAAATACTGGTTACTTTTACGTTAATTGTTAATCTACCATTCTCTAATAAGGGCTATTGCTAAATTCTTATATTGGTATTCTCATAAGCTGAGTACTTACTTTTCTACGGGATGCAGACCTCTTTGTGTATGTACCTAAGCCCGTGTAATGTGGTACTGCTTGTAAAATCATAGAATTTCTCCACGAGCAGTGACTTCTGTCGCTTTCTTTTTTCTTTTCTCAAACAGACGTCGCCATACACAACGGTGATATCCTTATCGGACCTGAATTTCGGGAAGTGCAATCGTTTAGTCCATTAGCCTATTTTTTCATTCATACAATAACCACTTAATTATCAATGGAGATTAAGGTATTGGAGTTGGAAAAACAGTTAAGGTTTCATGGGAAGTAGTTGTTTTGAGTATAATTATACAGAAAGCGTTCGGTGCTAATGTAACGTCCGCGGGTGAGCCGTGAGGTGCCAAATAATCTCCACCTTTACAACTAGTAATCACG